AATATTTTTAATACTTTGAAAATTGAAATTAAGACTTCAAAATTAGAAAAATGCGAAGCGTTTATGTGGCAAAAAACGTCCAATTAAATAAATAAATTCTAAACAAAAATAAAAATTGTTGTCCTTTATTAAGTAGAATAATTTTAATTAAACAAACTTAAAATGATTTCATTAAAAAATAAGAAAACTCATAAAAAATAATTTACACACAATTTGATTTTTTTTTTTTTCTTGTAATTTACTAACAATAATTGTTTTTTAATAAATAAATTATAATGTCACTCAAAAAAAAATATAATTATTAAAAACTACAGTGAATATAAAAAACTATTTTATTTTTAACTCATTTAAATTTAATATAAGAAAATAACGGACAGGTAGTCGAAAAAAAATGATTTACTTGCAGGTAATCTAACATTAATCAAGTTCAATGTATTGAACTTGACAAAATGGCGGAGAACGCTTGTTCAGTTGATCAAAGTTAAAAGTATAATTTACTTATTTTTACAAATAACGTACTTCTCTGGCACGTTGAACGGCTGCTGCGTATGCTGTGCTTTGCGGCACATTTGTTTGTCCTCCTGTTGAAGCAAATTCACTCATAATCTCACACAGGTAACAATAAAATAAAATACAATTAGCTAAAACTACATACGTTGCCAAGCCTCTCGGCTAGCTACTGAAGCCGCAAAATTTTTTATCTAATGACACGACTTTTTTTTTACCAACTACTTGTTTATTAAATAATGAATATAATTTTATCATTTTAATTATTTTTAGTACGAAGTAATTAAAAATTATTATAATCCGATACGAAATTATTAAAGCGTGAGTTTAAATAAATTAAATAAAATTCTCTTTTATTTTTAAATATATATATATATATTTATTTATTTATTTAATAGAATAATTTTATTTGACAACAAAATATATTTTACAATGCTAAATTTATAACGTAGTCATTTTTTTATATTACATGCATTAATAATTTATAATTAATAATTTTATCATTCTTATTATTATTATTATCATTATATCATTCTCCATTTTCAATATCATTAACCAATATTGATTAAAAAATTTTTTAATGGCGTAATACGCTTGAAAGTGTATTACTTACATGTAAAATAATTTAACATTAATATCATTAAACTTTTTCAATTCATATAACAAGTTCTTTGTAACATAAACCTTCACTTTCTGGACTGTCCATTCGACTTTTCAATCGTGATATTGTATTATTAAAATGATTACTGATTTGTTCCGTTTCCTCCGATGCTTCTAAATTTGGTAATTCTTCTTGTATTTTTGCAATCACTTGATTAAGCATTGCAATTTTGATCTGAAGAATACACAAAAATTTTTAATACATTAAAATCGTTAATTGTTAAACAATCATAATAATAATAATAATAATAATGTGAGAGGTCCAACCTGATCGTTTCCCTTTTCGTAAAAATAAATGTAATGATTAAGCAATTCGACAAATAATTGTACTTGAACGGATATATCCATACATTGACTGGCAATACGAACGCCCTTTTTCAAACATTCCACGACTCTTTTACCATCCCTCATCTAAAACAAAATGTTGTATAAATATGAGAACCTACATACTAATAACTTTTTCCTTAATTTGTAATAATTTTACACACTTCTTCCCCGTTTAGTTTTTTCCCACTCCAAAATAAATGAGCGCAAGTGGCAACTCCACGACACTGATCGGGTTTTTTTAATAATTTACTCGCGGCCAACGCACACTGAGTCCGAACGGGTTCCGCATTTTCTTCTGTCCAACAGGACAATTGTTCGAACGTGCCAACCATCAAAGTCATAGCCGCGAGTTGAGCTTTCGAATCCGATATTTCATCTTCGTATATTGAAAATGCCTACGTAAAAATTTAACTTGTTTTAAATAAGAAAAATTAAATGAAAAGTAAAAAAAAAAAAAAGCGTTCGCTTCGTTATTATTAACCTGTGACACAAATTCGTAGGCCACCGTATCGTGATTTTGAAAGGGTATTCGACCGGCTGTCAAAGCTCCCTGAAGGAAAAGTCTTAGAGGAAGTTCGGCGAGTTCGGCTTTCAATAGAGCAGAAACACTTTGATGACAAAATTGAAATATTTTCCCACATTTTTTCTCCCACATTTCGTCCTGTTTAGAAAATATTAAATTTAACACAAAAAAGACATTTTTTTTTTTTTTTTTTTTTTTAACGTTAACAAATATTTCGAATCGTAATTACTTCGTCTTTTAAAGAAAAATACGTGAGTGCCAACCGATAAGCTTGAAAAACGATGGGTGGTAATGTATATCGTACTCTTTTATTACCACCGTATTGAAATGTTTTCTTGCCGTGTTCAATATTAAATATTGTTTGTCGGGAATATCCGATTTCAAACGATGTATTAATCTGGAAAAAAACAAATCGAATCAATGTCTTTTCATTATAATTAAACAACTTTCAATAACATGTATTCGATAAAAAAAACTTTTTTTTCTCTCTCTCTTCTCTTTTACCTTCCCAACAATCCTTGTTCTTCGTCAAAATCTTCGGGATCATCTTCCACGTCGGTTTGATCGTTTTGACTTTGAATCAGGGATGAAAGCATTGATAAAACCGAATCGACAGATTCTGGAGTTGTTATATACGTATCATTATCTAATATATTTGTAACAATGTATACGGCTAATGATTTCCTTCCTAAAATTAAAATTAAATTTAAAAAAAAATCTCCATCTCAAATTTTCCTATTATTTTCCCCCCCCCCCAAAAAAAAAAAAAAAAAAACACTCGCCTAAATAATCAAAATGTTCGAGTAATGGACAGTAATTTTTTAATTTTAAAACGGTTAATATATTTTTATAAAAATCGACCGGGATTTTCATGAGACGAGTCAATTCTCGTGACAGAGTCGAATTATAATCTATTTTTTCTATTCCATTCTTTGTAAATATTTCATTTATGTTTCCCAAAACCGTGTCGACATAATCTATTTTGTCCGGATAACATTTATTTACAAGATTAATTAATGAGATTTCTAATGAAATTATATCCTCGTTTGACATTTCGCTGCGAAACTGTAAGAAAAAAACAAAACAAAACAAAATTTATAATTTGGATAGGATTTTACACTTATCGAATATTTTCATAATCAAATTCCCTACCTGAATGATACTTGATATTTGCTCGCTAAAAACTTCAAAAAGTTCAACTTGAGCTATCGTAGCAGGATCTGATTTTTGTGTGAATGTAGCAAGTCTGTCTATTAATGAAATTATGATGTTTTTAACATTGACACCACTCTGAAGTTCAGCACAAGATTTCAAAAATGGTTGCAATGACTGCAAATGAAACTCATCGGGGAAAACCTGGATAAAAAATGAATTTTATGTAATCTCAAATCATTACGATGAATTTAAAAAAAAGAAATCCAAAACTTTTCGAAAAATGTTACCTGAATAATGCATTCCATTAAATATTCTTGAGCGACTGCATCTCTACAACTAACAACTTGTTCCAATATACCAGGTAAAACGGTTTTTTGATATTCTTCAAAATTAACACTTTCCAATTCGCTCAATCTAACTAAATTCGTTCCGACTAATATTCTCAATTCTTCTCTTTCTTTTTCACGACGTTCACGATCTCTTGAATGTCCCTGATGTTGCATTCTAACCCATAACTTGTTCATTTCGGCAAAATTCATTAAAACAAATTCGACAGAATCGTGTACCTGAATAAAATCAAATAATAAAATAAATAAAATAAAATGCAAATGAAATTAATTAAATTACTATTATTGTAAATTTTCAAATTACAGTTCCTTCTGCTTCATTTTCATTTTCCAAAACATCTGGTAAAACATTTCTAGTACATTGTAGCAAATAATTTCTAAGAAATAATCCTCGTAATGGATGCTGAACACCTGGACACATTTCGACTAAATCTTTTAATATATCTCTTTTTAAACATGAATTGGTTTTTATATAAACTAAACCGACAGTGATTAATAAATACCTGTCACAGACAAGAAAAAAAAAATTAGTTTTAAATTGTATGACGGAAAAAAAAAAATTAAAATTTTTTATTTAACAGAGTAAAAACTTACAGTCTTGGAACTATATTTCCAGCATATTGCACTAATTCATATAAATCGGCAACTTTTCTTCCTTTCTGAAATTCTTCTAATAAATAAGACTCCAAATGTCGTAATTCATCAGTTATAGCCATGTCTGTTAATCAGGGTTAAGAATTTTATATATTCGAATAATACCAAACATGTCTTAAAATGGTTTAATGTATTTTTTCTGCCATGTATACACATGCACACACACACACATATATGTTTAATGTTTATCAAGAATTTTAATTAATGTATTTCGAACATATTAATTTTAAAAAAAACTTATTAATGGCGGTAGTATTAATTACAGCTTTATATGTATTAACAATCGTAAAACAGTTTTAAATTTGACTCGATAATTTTAAATTTGAAAACTAATATAAATTAAATAAATAATATTAAATTAATAATATGATAAAAAAAGGATACAAAGTTCATAATAACTTTTCGGGGTAAGTAATGATGTTTTTAATTCTCCCAATAAAGTTGAAGCATATTTTAATCCCTCCCTTAATTTATTTTTATTTAAACATTTTTTCATTTGAAAAGCTTGCATTTTAACAACTGAAAGAGCATTTTCCAATAATTTTTCCTGCTTTTCAATAGTTGTTGCTTGGGGGGTCATTTTTTATTTAAAAAAAAAAAAAAACATGTTAACAAAATTATAATAAAAAAAAAAAAAAAAAAACTTGATTTCTAATGCAATATAGCCTTTCAAAAAAAATTTTCAATCATTTAATTATAAATAAAATTTAATTTTGAAAGGAAAAAAAAAAATTTTTCATAATTTGATCTAAATTAAAATTATCAAATCAAACACTTGTCACTTGACAAATTTAATTAAAATAACTCAAATTTTAACAACAAAATTATTTAAATTTTTTTTTTTTTTTTTTTTGGGGTATTTCGATATAAAATTATTTAATTCGAATATATATGTACGCCAGAATATATTTTTCGTAAATAAAATATTTTATTTTAATTACCTTTACCATCTAAATCATAAATGCGAATAATGTAAAAAAAAAAATAAAATAAAATAATAATTTAAACGTAAACCTACTCCGGCATAAATTATCCTTAAAATACCACTCTCAACTGCCTTCTTGAAATGACATTTTTATAAAACGATAAAAACGGAAGTAAAAAATATTTTTGTCTTCTGCCACAATTATAATTTGATTTCCGCCAAAATACGTAATTTTACTTATGGCGATCAAACAAAAACAATTCCTTTATTTATTTAATTACTTAATTTTTCTTCCTGTGGGAAAAAAATAATTTAAATCTGACTTAATAAAACTAAAATAATAACTAAGCTTATTAAACATATGTATATACATAATAATAATTACTAACATTTTAAAAAAAAAACGAAATAATTTTTGGCGGGAAATGAAAACTAAAATAATTACATTAAAAATAAAACATATTAAAATAATTTCAATAATAATTTAAAGTTACAAATAATAAAGATAAATAAATTTACTTGTTTAAAGTAATAATAATAATAATAATAATAATAATAATAATAATAATAATTAAGAAAAAATAAATTTGAAAAATTAATAAAAATGAATATATATATATATATATATATATATAAATAATAAAAAGTATAATTATTAAAAAAATATAACTTATAAAAATTTATTAAAAAAAAAATTACAATTAATATTTTTTTATTTATTTATTAATAAAATAATTATTATTATCATTTAAAAAAAAAAATTAATTAAGCCCGTAAAAGAAATTATAAAAAAAAAAAAAAAAAAAAGTTACATTCATTATTATTATTATTATCTTTCTTTCTTTCTTTCTTTTTTTTCCTTTTAAAAATAAAAATAATAATAATAATAATAATAATAATAAGATAATAATAAAATAATAAAAATAATAATAAAAATAATAAAATAATTATAATAAAATAATAATAATAATAATAATAATAATAATAAATAAATATTAATAATTATAAACTACTTTTAATAATAATTTTCATTTATTTTTATACTATATCATTCATAAATAATTAATTAAAAAATATATATATATATATATAAATATCAAATTAAAATTTAAAAAAAATTTT